ATGAGACACCTAGGGCGGCAGAACAATGCATTTTTGATAACTTCCAGCTCAATCAGGAATAATGTCCATGTCAATTTTTGTTGTTCAGAGTTTAAGCTCAAAACACTATAGCTCCAAACACACTAAGTCAACTCTTCTCTCTCTTCCTCTTAAGCGAACGGTCGTTTTTTTTTTTGTGCGAATTTTTTGAGAAACTTCAGTTTTGACTTAAACCGTATCGCTTCGCGTGTGCTGCGGCATATTTGGAAGCGAATTAATAATTTGTTTAAATTTAATTCCAAGCATAGCTCAGCTCGCCTTCTCCCCGTCTTATCTCTATTTCTGCATTTTTCCTTTGCACTCTCCGAAAGCTCCCGCTTCGGCTTCCTATTTGGCACAGTGGTTCGAGGTATAGTGTTTTTTAACTTTTTAAATATTTATTTTCTTATTGTTATTTAATAATATGGAATTTAGACTGGTCTGCTCTATGAAGTCTTGTAACAAGACAATCTCCTCATCCCAGCCTACCATCCATTGCTGGCTATGTGAAAACGTCGTACACGCCAAGTGTGCCGGGTTCACTGCCTCACTTTCGGATGCCATTTCCCGTAGGTCTGGTTTACATTAATGTTGTGAAAATTGTCGTGCTGTACAAGACGAAATGAGGTTGTTCACGAGACCGACAAAGAATGGATTTAAAAAGTTGATCCCTGGTTTTCGTAAAATCAATGACCAGCTCTGTGCGCTTGACACTCAGTTTAGCGGCCTTCAGCTGCTAGCTAAGTCCCCTAAGCGTAAAAAATCCGCTGTTTGAGATCCACCCTTAGTGCTAGAACTAAGAACAATTCACCGTCAGTGTCACCCAAAAGGGTATTCCACAGTCCGGACCACCATCACCAACTGATGCTGCAGTTCTCGTACCTGCGACACAAAACCCCTTACAGGATTCCTCCATCGAAACATATATTTGTTTCTCGGCTTGCCCCTGATACTTCAGAGATTTATATCTCGGCTTATATCAAAACCAAACTAAAGCCGATATAAAGGTGGAGGACATAGCGAAATTTAAAAATAATTATGTAAGTCGCACGTCTTTTTTTAGGATTCGTGTGCCTGCGCTGATGTTCGAGACGATTTGTTCACCCAGTTTTTGGCCAGAGAACATTTTTGTCCAAGAACATGAGTCTAGTTCCATGAAAAAAAAACGTTTTAAATCCAGTGGGAGTGAAACTTCCCCACATTAGAACCACCGACCAACCTTTCACCTCTTCTTCGACCACTAACCCAAAAAAACTATGGGCTATGTAGCAAACTCCCCAAACTGTATTCTGATAGTTCTTTCTTTGCATCCAGGCACGTATCCAGGGCGGGTCCCGTATTTCTTACGCTCTCTTACGCTCATCGTTCGTTCATCTTACGCTCATTTTCTCATAGAATACTTTCTGTTTCTCAGTCGCTGAAAGGAGCGCGACGAAGAAGGTTGGTCTGCGCTTGGATTGTTCTTTGTATGTATGCGTGTCACACATTCACATACACGGGGGCATGTGTGCGTGCGATTTCGTTTCGAAGCCAGCGCACAAAATTTCGATTTTTCAAGCTGTCAGGCTGTGTTATTTGGTGAAATGACGAAAAAATATTATATGTTATGGTACATTTTTTAATATTTCAGCATACATTTTAAATTTATTTAGGAACGAGATTAGGTGTTAGCAGTAAAGTGTTTTTTATATATGTACATATTTCTAGGAATCATTAAAAACAATGTAGTGAGAACGGAGCAGGGTATCTTTCAGTCGACATCACTTTAAACGCCGATGGCTTTTCAGTTTTTGTTGTTCTGCATGAGAATTGTGTTTGCATACCCTAGAAAAAAATTGATGAACTGGAAGAATTAGGTCCATAGTTTCAAGACGAAATGCCATTGCCCGCAGTTCAAGCTGAGTACAAGTTATGGTGTACCAAAATTTCATCAATTGACCCATCAACCGAAATTTTGAGACTGTTGGAGTGTTTTGATGGACCATTTTTACGCGGGATAAATCTTCTTCTCAAGGTCATGGCTACTCTTCCAGTCACAACGGCTAGCGTCGAAAATACGTTTTCAACAATGAAGAGGATAAAAACTCTACCTCGTAGTGTGATGGGGCACGACAGACTAAGTGCACTCGCGATGATGTCAATTCACTGGGATACTGTTGTTGATCCGGAGGAAGTTCTCGACTGTTTAGCGAAGAAAATCAAGGAAGTTGCTCATTTAAGGTGTATGTTCTGAAGGAAAATACATACTGTATTTTGCAATTGTCAGATATTTTATGTGAAACATAAATAATGCTTCAATTTTTTTTTAACATTATAATAACTGTTAATTGTAACCTTATACTTTGTACTGTACCTTTTTTTTGCACAATAAATAATAAAAGATCAAACGTCACGGACTGATTAAAGATTGATGTGTGATTTGCCTTTTTCTGAATTTATTTTTATTTAAGTCCACATTTTTTATTGATTTTGGTCCTTTAACTCCCAGACTTATGTTAGACTTATGTTTTGTATCTGATCCTGATGGTACCGCGCCCTCCAGAGCTTTTCCCCTTTCAATCCCAGAGGATCCATATCACCCCACGCTGGAGGTCTCAATCGAAACCATTCCTGCAATCGATCAGATGTTTCCATGCGTGGCAAATAAGATTCCCTGCTTCCGTAAAGCTGATTTTGATTGGTCTGATATTCTGGCATGCACTGATCTTAACGTCACCTTAGAAAAATTAAACTGTATTTTAAATACATTTTTTACTCCTGTGTGCCATGGAAATATCCGTCCGCTTCAACAAATCCTCCTTGGTTTACAAGGTGCCTCACTAACCTAAAAAATACTAAAAATAAGCTCTTACTTAAATATAAAAAAAACCTGCAGTAGTATTGATTTCTCAAGATATTTACTAGCTCGGTCGAATTTTACCGTGCATAACGCAGAATGTTACAGGAAATGTTCGCCGCTGCCGGATACAATTTACTCAGGATCCGAAGCAGTTTTATAATTTTGTAAACACAAAGCGTAAACATGTATCTTTTCCACCTCTGCCACCTCATCTCTTTAACTCCTCCTAGCTTAATAAATTACAAATAGCTTATATACTACCAAAGATTATAAAGTACATAGATGGGACATCAGGGCCCAAAACGGTCAACTTTTTGCGTCGAGCTTGTTGGTGAGGGGGGAACGCACATACATACGATTCTATTTTTAGAACTCCATGTATCCGTCAACAAAAATGTGAACCTATGTGTGTATGTGTGACTGCTCGCACGACGGAGTAAAAATGTTTTGGCTTCCAAATTTCAATTTCAATTTCTCGTTTCTGTTTTTGATGCGCCGATGTGGTAGTTGGTAGAACAAATAGTATTTTTGATCGCCGCAGATCGAGACAGGATGGTAGCGTAATGCATAGAGTAGTTACTCTATGAATAATTTTTCTGTGTTCAAATTCTCCTAAGGACTTTGAACTTTTTCGTTCTTTTATATTTATTTTTTTTTTATTTTTCCTTAATTTTAATGTTTTTCTTTAATTTTACAATTGTAAAATTGTTTAATTCTTCATTATGTCCGGCTATTAAAATTTCAAGGGAGTCCTTCCGGCATTTTGTCATCCGACCCGTCCGTCACTTATTTTTACTTTAATTGTTATAGAATAAAATTAAAAATAATAATAAAAACGTAAAAATTAAAAGTAAAAAAAAAAATAATAAAAAAATAAAAGTAAATATGTATAAAAAGAATCATAAAACTTTATCAAAATCGAAACAACCACCCGCTAATGAAGTCGAACCCAGGACCCCATGAATAAGGACCGCGCACTATCCATCTATGCTACCCTCGTAGTTGATTTTATGATACTTAAAATTGGTCTTAAAGAAGGCGCTAGAATCCATACCAAAAACAGAGCTGACGAGTAAGGGTAGTAAAAGATATTTCTGATCTCTTTACTCTTACATTGGTTCGATTACATCGTTTCAAACTTTCATCGTTCCAAAGATGTTACGATCTAAAAATAGAATTCTCTCTCTCCCTATCTCATCTGCCAGGCGTTTGTCGTGGAACCCGCTCTCAAATGTTTTCATTATTCAGCGGGTTCCACGACGGAAAAAATGAAAACATTTGAGAGCGGGTTCCACGACGCGGCCTGCCAAAATGCCGTAGAACCCGCACTTATAGACATTTTTACAGCGGGTTCCACTACGAACTGAGACGATGTTAAGGTGATTTTACAATTTTGTATTTTTTTTATTGGATTATAAATTTAGGAAAACACATTAAAATAATAAAACAATAATATAAATAGATTTAAAATTTAAAAAAAATGGATGTCCCGGGCCTGGTTTGAACTCATTTTACTTTGCACACCAGCCAAGCACTCTACCACTCGGCTATTCCTCACTCGTTGTCTCGCGAAAAATTTCTCAAACTTAACTTGTCGCGCAATGGAACCCGCTCGTTCCAGCGGGTTCCACTGCTGGAACCCGCCATAGAAAATTTTTCTTTGTATGAGATGTCCCATCTATGTACTGTATAATCTTTGATACTACTACTATGTAGCTTATTTGTATATATAAATACAAATATATACTAATTAATCGTTTCTCGAGCGCCCGTCGTTCGTCTGGGCCTCTAAGTTTTATGATAAACACAGGAATGCTAGCTGATGCTCTAATTTATGCACAAGCCATTACCAAAATTCCGAAAGACCGCGAAATAAAAAAAAAAACTCAGTAAAAGAAAAGCATCAAACCATGCAGTTCTTTGACATTCCTAGGAGTGAGCCAACGCAATGGTCGCAATCAAATGCATAATGATGGCTTAAGAAAGCCCTAGCTTGTTCATAATATTTTTAATGTTATTTGAATGTAAGATATTTTGGGCGTGGCATGCACGTTAATACCCAATAATACCGCCAAACCAATTTTTTTCAAAATATGTTTAAATATATTTGTTAATAATGAAATATATTTATAAATATTTACAGTCATGGTATGACTACAAGCTGCGATGGGAACCAAAGGAATATGGTGGAGTCCACATGCTGCACGTTCCTTCTGATCATATTTGGAGACCAGATATAGTTCTTTACAACAAGTAAGTAGTTACAAAAAGGAAAAAACATTGTTTATTTAGTTATTTCCCATTCTTACTGAAAAGGTAGAATTTTAAGGGTATATGTGTTATGTAAAAAATAAATGGATTAGAAAAATATTTGTATTTATTGTTTTTTTAAGAAGAACAATAAAACAATTTAACATTGAAATTATGTTATAAGATTAACAGCAGTATCAACAAAATTAAACTGCATTTATTTCTGTTGTCAATCACAAATGCACGCTATTTTTCTATATATCGCCAAACTACTCCAAATTTATTTTTTTCAAATGTTTTTAGTATCAACCCATTGTATATGAGTCGATACGTCTGGAATTCGACAATTTTGAGTTGTCAATTTCATGCAACAGTTGAATTTGCCTCTATTTCAGAGTGAAAAACCTGTGATAACATTTTTTTTAAATCTAACTTTTGTGAAACAGGCTGTATTAAGAAAATTTTGTTAATTTTTTTTGCCGATCTTTTTTGTGTGAAACAGAATATACATTTTAATACAATATTAACTTACAAACAAAGCCTTATATACATAGATAAGCCCTTTCGTAAAGATAATGAAGACTACAAAACTATTTCCCTTTATTTAAAGAGAACGATCACGACCGCCGAACTTCCCATATTCAGCATAAGCAACTCATGTGCCTTTACTGAGGAAAAAGGGAGGGATTAGAACGGGGTGAAGTGTGCAGTTTCGCGACTCGATGGCCCGCGAAGTGATGTAGTATGACGAAGTAGTATGACCGTCGAGTACTTGATCTGGTTCATAATGGTATTTATGTCGTTAGGCTGAGATGATCGTCAACGGTTCGAAAATTGCTGAGATTCGTATTTTATGCGTTAAAAGTGACGATGTCAGCTTCTCCCTTATCTGCAGTATTCTTTAAGGTACTGTCCAACTGGTGTGTGCGTGTGGGAAATTGCGTATTCTATCAAATAAGCTAATGGTTACCATTACAAAAGTCGATACGTGACAGTTCTCCCACCGTCGCTGGCAATAGGGTATTCCTAATTCCTTCTTTAATGGCTGTTTTAATTTTGACAAACTGTGCAGTTTAAAAACAAAGAAGGACGGCTACAGTCGAGTTTCATGACTATATTATACCCGGTTCTCATCTTTTCTACCCACACTTTAACTAAGCCTTTAAGTTTTCACTTTAACGGCATGGATTTTCAGCAACAAATTTTTGTTGCACACTAATACCACCTACCCCAACTACCACAAGTAGGAAAGAAAAATAAAAAGTATATAACTCCTCTAAAAATTTTCCGATTTGGCTGAATTCATTTAGCCATTGGAACAGTTTGGCATCAAAACATTCCCCAAAAACATAAACGAAGCGGAGCTAAATCGAGATTTCCTATTTGGTGGTGGGAGTGGGCGTGGTAAAATTTTACGCCAACTTGATCTGTGCGAATACCAAACGAGTCCAATTTCCAAATTACATAGTTCTATCTCTTAAAGTCTTCGAGACCCATCCGTTTTAAATTTTAGCCCCTTTGGGAAATGTACTGGGTCTACAGAAATTTTGCGACTTGTGGTGGGGCAGGGTCGACCTAAATCAGTGGTGGGCAACCTCTCATTTTACATAGTATAGGGTAGGAAATTCTGCCGCAGCGCTGCCGGCACACTGACAGTGTGAGCACTCTCAATTTTTTTTTTATGAGAGAAGCTCTCTCATTTGCTCTCATTATGATTCATTTGACAGCCCAAACTAAAAATCAAAATTTTTCAACTAAGAAAAATTTTCTCAGAAATTGGATTGGAAAAAGTTTTCTTCATGGAGAATATAGATAAGGAAGCGTAGTTTTTCATTTGTTTAAGAAATGTTGCTAGCAAAGCTTTTTTTATACCCTTGCAGAGGGTATTATAATTTTGGTCAAAAGTGTGCAACGCAGTGAAGGAGACATCTCCGACCCTATAAAGTATATATATTCTTGATCAGGATCACCTCCTGAGTTGATATGAGCATGTCCGTCTGTCCGTCTGTCTGTCTGTTTCTACGCGAACTAGTCTCTCAGTTTTGAAGCTATCGACTTGAAACTTTGCACACACCCTTCTTTCCTTTGCACGCAGTATATAAGTCGGAACGGCCCGGATCGGCCGACTATATCCTATAGCTGCCATATAACTGATTGATCGGAAATGGTATAACTTTGGTGTTTTTAGAGTTAGAGAGTTCAAATTTGACATGAGAGCTATTTTTGGCAAAATAATACGACATGCCAAATTTCATAAGGATCGGCCGACTATATCTTATAGCTGCCATATAACTGAACGGTCGGAAATGGTATTTGGTAGAAATATCAACTTTCTTATTTTAGAAGATAGAAGCTTGGGACTTGTTTTAGATTTTTTATTTTAGTTAATTGGTTTTATTATGATGTGTTCATAAGGATCGGCCAACTATATCCGATGTTTGCGATATATATCCGGTTTTAACTGCAAGGGTATATAAACTTCGGCTCCGCCCGAAGTTAGCTTTCCTTTCTTGTTAAAAATAAAATACTCAATTTTAGTGCCCATTCCAACTTTTGAATTAACAAAAAATGAAATAAAAAAATTTCTTTTTTTTCGCTCAGTGAATTCTCTGCTCTCATTTTTTTTCTCTGCTACGCACACACTCAAATTTTAAACATGTGTTAGTTTTGCCCCCCACTAACCTAAATGGTCGAATGATGGCATCGGCCGGATCATTAGAGATTTGGTCATAATGTTCTTTTGATAGACTATCTTAATCTTCATGAAACAAAAATTATTTGTAAGTAACTCTTGTGCATTCTGATCGTGTTCCGGTCGTGTAAGAATCTTGATGTCGTTGAAGTTTATTGACTGAAAGAACTTCGATGTATCAGGTTTATGTCCACATTTGTTAATGAAATTAACGAGACGGGCATATTGCCGATAAGAAGAGGAGGAAACTGTTCCTGGTTTTCTGTTCCATGTTCGAAAGTTCAATTTGTTTTTGCTTTCGGCAAATACGAATACGAAAGCTTAGAGTTCGGAGAAAGAGAGGGGAAAGTGTGGGACGGGAGGAAACAAATTCGGTATCGACACATAAATTCTCTTTTAATATTGTGCCTGGTATTTTGTATATGTAAGATTATATTAAATATATATTAAAGTGTATAAATAAATATTTCAAAGTTTCTTATTCATATTCGTAAGTTGATGAAATAATACACATTACCTTAGAGTGCGACACTTTCTTCTTGGTATCGGTTATCGGAGATAAGTATTTAAATGAACGAGAAATTTTTATCTCGTAAGTTCTTCAATTTTTAAATCACAATACATTTGAGTTAATTTTTATAAAATAGGTACTAAATGTACAGGAAAATAGGGCGTTATGAAATGTTAAATGTTTTATTTTGCAGATCAAATCCAGGTAGCCTCCAGATAAACCACGCACACGTTATGACGTAAATTAAAAAAAAACATTAAATTATAATTATATAAAATTTATACAATAATTATTATAATTATATAATTAAAAAACATATTAAAAAAATATATGATAAAATGAAAATTTGTATGATGAGTAACTTTTTATAAAAGAATGAAGCGAGAATTTCAACTGAGAAAGTGGCGGAAGTTTTACATAAGAAAAGGGCATGAATTTTGGATCGATCTCCTGGCTTTATCCAGGTCCTATCATGCTCGTTTTCGAAACTCACTGATTTTACATTCTTCGAGTAATGGGAGAAAGAAATGGTATGTGGTAAATACTTTTTTTTTACCTTTTTATATAAAAACGTTTTTTTTGCCTGTCCGAGACTAGTGGAACTTGCTGTAAAAATGAAAACATTTAAGGTTGGGATCGATAAAAGGCAGGCCGGTGAAAGAGAGAAATGGAGAATTACATTTTTAAGCCGTAACATATTTGTAACATTGGAAAAATTAAACTTTAGCATGCACCGCAACGAAAAAGTTGTGAAATGCATATTCATACTGCATACTCAGCATATTCTATGCTGTACCTGAATATACCGTAAAACGAATTTTCCAATTTCTACCAACTCAGTGAGAGTTTCAAATGCTTAGAATTAGGTGTTACCTCTTCTACTATTAATGGACTTGAAAGCAGATCGATTTGCTTCCAGAAGTAAAGATCTTGGTTCAGCGATGGAATAATATAAAATTTAATTTTCTTTTTTTCTCCCTTATACTTCTCTATAGTATTAAATCTACCTAAAAAAGTTTGGTTGTTTCCATCTGCCTTACGGTTTTAGACTTTAGAAAGCACTTTTTGAGTGATTTATTGCAAAAATATATTCCTTAGCGAGGTCACTCCCTATGCAACTCACACCAGGCAGCACTGGTGTGCCACCTTTCTTCCCAGAAGACTCACTACAGCATATCTTCACTTAATTTCTCTGAGCTGCCGGATTTTGTGGAACACTTATCGCTTGACATTGGGCAGATGTATGCCGGTATATTAGGGATACCGCTGCTATCTCTCCTGCCAACTCTTCTTCCTCAAACTCAGATGCATCGTTCATCTCCTCCTCCACCACTTACTCTGCCACTCGCATTTTAAATGGCACCATCTTCTGGTAGTCATGAGGTTTTCTAACTCGTTCTAAAACCTCTCTCATTTTCAGAAAATATCGCGAGGATATTCCATGGACGTCAGTGAAATATTAAATTTCGTGCCTTAGATTAGGACGGACAACTTCTATGAGTGTTTTATCGGACATGGGCTAATCTAATCGGTCCATAGGCTTTAAAATAGCATCGTACTAAGCGTCAAGGCATTTTTTCTCTCTATTTTTTCGATCTTTTATCAACTGGAGGATGTCAACATCCGTTCTGGAGTCCCTGAACTGCTTTCATAGTACAGTGCCGATTTGGCTATTTTAGATTCAGATTAGGCAAATTTTCAACTGTTTAAATTCATAAAAATTTTGTTTCCTACCGATAGTCAAATAATGAACCCTTTATATGGCCGTGTTGCACATCTGCAACATACCGTTTGAATTCA